ACTTGGAAATAAATACAGCCTATAGACTATTTATGAATATAAAATACACACAAACACAAATACCTTGATTTTCTAGTAATTCACTTCATTTTCTTAACTCTCATGGATTCACAGGATAGTCATTAATCTCATTCTTTAATATTCTGAGTTTTGAATTTGGATTTGGAAAGTTAAATGCAATAAAAAACAACCACATCAGACCACAGAGGCCTGTTACTTTAAAGTTCATGGTGAGGGGAAGAAAGGAAACTTTAATTTCTCCAAAAGGGCAGCACAGTTATGCTGGCAGCACCTGCAGGCATCTGTGTTTGTGACCCCTGACATGAATAAGGATGCCCATATGGTGTGGTAGGAGATGTTCCTGGGATACAAGGCCTAATGCAAGGTTTCTGAAGAGCCCAACAAAATGCTTTGGGCTGCTGCAGAGAGGGCGGGGAATGAGGAAGAAATCTAAACAGTGGGACCTAACCTTTCTCCTCCCAGTTCCACCAAAGGCTCTCCTCTTTTATCTACTTAAAAGAGATCCAGGTAAGTTGTAATTTCACTACAATGTGTCATAAACTACAAGTAAAAAACTATGAGTTGGTAGTAGATTGAGCATGAGTCTTAAAATCAATGACTTGATTTCATACATTAATTCGAGTACTTATTAGCTATTAAATCTGGAACATGTGTAACTTCTTTTAGCCTTGATTTCTATTCAAGATAGAGTAATAATAATACCTACTTGCTTGGTTGCCATGAGGATTAGAGATAGTGAATTAAAATGCCTTGTACTTAATTGATCTTCATAAAATACTGTGATTATTATAACAGATTCTAGCTGGTAACTAGTCATAGATTTAAGTGATTTGTTTTCTTCCTCTGACAACTGCAGAACATAAAGTCTCCTTCCTCTACTGCTCAAACGTCAAAGCTAACAGAAGGTAATTTTGCTTTGAGTCAGAGAATCTATTTTAAGTAATCATCTCAAATGTTAAGTAGCATTATAGAGAGAACAAAACTTGTCCAAAAATATTGCTTATTTGTCACAAGTGACCAATTTGAATTTAGAGTAATTATGGGAAATGGTTTACTAAGTCTTGAATAAGTAATTTAACAGTTTTTTTTTAAACACCACTCATTTTCAGTCCTAAATTATTCTTTAATAGCTTCTTAACAGCACAACCTGTGAATGTCCATCCAAAACAGTACACAAAAGAGAAATCACAAGGCAAAGTCAGGATTGGATATTAAATCACCTTTTCAGGGGTAAGGGGAGACCCATGTTATACTCCAATTCTGTCCCTCTTTCTCATCTGCAGAATTAGGTTTTTAGCAGGCATCATATTGGCTTTGCTCCTTTGCTTTCATTCCTCTAGTTTTGGTACGGGTTCAGTTGCAGCATGACTTGTTTTCTTCTATCCCTTACTAACAGGCTACCTTCCTATTGGTTTGGCAGTCTTTTTTGCTAAAGGAAATTCAGGTTAGCTGTTAATGAATTTTTAGTGGTTAACAAAGGGAAAAATGATCAGAAATGTGTTTGCTTTGAATGGGATCATATGAAAGTCATATGACACAGGTTATATATTGAAAATTATAGGAGAGTAACCAAACTGAATGATACTAGATGAGAGAAAAAGAAATTTTTCTTCTTCCTCCATTCTTTTTTTTTCCTTCCTCCAAATACACTTTGTCTTTTGGCAACTTTTGGAACATTTATTATTCTAATTGAATAATCTCAGACTTATTTTATATAATTTGAAAGCCAAAGAAGATGAGATATTTTCCAACTGAAAACCCAAGGTGCAATTCTGATAGATGGGTCCAGTTTCACACAAGCCAAAGATCTTGAACATGTTATTCACAAGGCATCTGTGATTGCTAAGCTGTTGTATAACCAAAAATGGCAAGATGTGAGACATTTTGCTCATTTAGAGAAGAAAAATTGGCTATAGATAAAAATGGCTTCTACACGTCATGAAAATTATTTCTTGAAAGGCAGTGAACCAAGGCCTCTCATAGGCCTTTTATGAATCATTCTATGCAAAATTAGAAAAAAATTTTGAGGACTCATTCAAATTCACACCCACCAGAATTTCAGAAATGCTTGTTGTATTCAAGATCATCTTAGTGCACTGGAGTGTTTCACCTGGCATCTTAAGGACGAAGCTTCTCAAGTTGCTCGGTTGTGTGTAATACCTGAAATGAGAAAAAAAAAATGAGAGAAAATAGTATTGTACTCTGCAAGGAGTAGTGATTTTTAGGTGGCTGTGGAAAGTCCAAGGTAAGTCCCAGACTTATATTGAGATCCCTCAGGAGAGCACTTTTTCAGTTTTAGTTTTTCATGGTTCTTTTGAAATATGACTTTAGCAATAACAGATATCACTGATAGGCAGGACCCCATTAACCTGATATCAATTTACTATCTTGGCTTTCCCCAGAAGCAGCTTCTGACATAAGGATTCAAAAGCAAGAGGTAGAGGCATGGGAGGAAGGATAATGGTGAAGCTTGTGTTATCAGACAAAGGAAACACTGGAAACCCAGTATCATTGGGAAGTTCTGGGAAATGATGTAGAACGTCTCCTAAGGTTACCCCATATGATGGGGCAAGGAGGATATGGCAGAAGGAAAACAGGATGCAAGGAAAGGGTCTGCTATAGATAGTGACATTGTGAGGAACTGATTTCAGGAAAGTGCTTTGGAGAGAGGGATGAGTCTGGGAAGGACAAGGAGAAGTCCTGCGCATAGGGAGGTAAAGCAGGAGGGCCAGAGAGATACAACAGGGATGGAAGAATATTTGATGCATTGATTCAGAGGTGTTGGGGAGTACTCAAGGTAGTGATACCACCTACCATTATTAATTGTCTAATAACCACATACTGGTTAAGTGTATAGGTTTTCTAGGCCCTAATCTTTTATTATTCTCCTGTTCATCTCTATTTAATCATATCCTTGATGACTGCTACTGGTGGACCAGGAACCAAGAAAGGAGGACAAAAGGGAAGAGGAGGAAAAAGAGGAAGAAAAGGGGGAAAAGGAGGAAGAAAAAGAGGAAAAGGAAGAGGACAAAAAAGAGAAGTGATTAAGAAGGAAGAAAGAGTAAAAGACGAGGACTCCATCATGTGGGTCAGAAGTTTTTAAGAGTGGGCCCATGAATAAATGCCTAACTGGGTGTCTTAGTCATTTTCCCATCACCCGAACACAATACCTGACACCTACGACTTACAGTAAGAAAGGTTTAGTTGGGCTCATGGTTTAGTCTATAGCTGTCAGACTCCAAGGCAGAAAAGTTATAGTAGAAGGAAAGGGCTTGGGATGGAGGACAGTTTCTCATCCCATGGCAGCCAGGAAGCAGAGAGTGATGGGAGGAGTCAGAGAGGAATAGTCACCATTTCAGGTCACTCCCACCCTCCTACCTGTGTCTTCTGACCAGGCCCCACCCCGTAATAGCAATCCACTGATGAGTATAGCACCCCATGTGATCCAGTCATTTTCCAAACCCCACCTCTGAACACTTGAGCCTTTTGTGAGACATTCTAGAACTAAAACCAGAATGCTGGGCTAAGTTTTTCCTTCTAGTGCACAGCAGAAAGTGAAAAATGGACATTACAGTGCTGTTTCCACAGAGCTAAATTTATTCTGATATTCCATCTTTTCAAGATTTTGACACTAAAATTTTCTTTCTACAGCAGTAGGAAAAACAGATATAATGTTTCATGGTATTTCTAAAAATACAAAATACCCTCCCGTATCAAAATGGGGAATTAGAGGCTTCATTTTTCTTCACACAGACAAATATGGTGCATATATTTTGCTACTATGAGAAACTCGGAGCCCTAGAACCACTAACCTCATCAAATGCCATATTCCTTATAGCATTCTGAAGAGTCAGTAGTTACAACTTTGTCATCCTTAGCTGCCTTTGGAACAGAGATAGAACACAGAGTGGATCAGGGCACAAGCTGGAGCTCTAGAGATGATCTGACTCCCTTCACAACCCCTTGCTCTTCATGAGAAATTTGGGGTCATTTAAACTTATGTCTCAATTCACTCATCTGAAAACAAATGAAATAATGTTAACATTTTCCCCAACATAATAATATGCCAGCGAAAAGATTTGCCACACACTGAGGATGTAATAAGTGCTACCTATGGTAGTTAACTAGAGGTGCTACTGTGCACTACTAGAAATATCTGAATCATTCAGCTAGAAATTCCCCAAATCAAAACTTTTTCTGAAATAATGCTTTTTATAGAATTATTTGTACTATATAAATAACAACAGTAAAGAAAAATTTTAAAATAATGTTCAAGTAACTACATAATTTTGGACACTGGGGGCAGAGATAATTCATGAGCTAATGACTTTTTAAATTTTCACATTGTTTTAATGCATTAGAAGCAGTTTTAGATAAATTCAACTGTAAAGGATTGACATTTGTATGAAAGCATTTGTAAAGTATTTAAATTTTAGCTCCAACAACTTGTTTTTTCTTGTATTTATTACAATTATTAATAATTATTGGGCTAGGGATTTAGCTCAGTGGTTCTGGTGACTGCCTCACAAGCACAAGAACCTGAGTTCCATTCCCGGTACCAAAAAAAAAAAATTATTATAAGAAACTCTGGAAATTTGGAACTAGCTATAATAGCTCTACTACTGTATTATAGCAAGTGCATTTCAAAGTAATATTCAAATGAAAGAGCTCAACTCTGTGTTTTCAGGTATTTTTCTTTTCTGTGGTTCCAATAGCATTTTATTGAGCAGGGAAGTGTGTAAGTAAGAATTTACAAGATGACAATGTTGATTCCATGAGTAGAAATTTTGCACAAGAGTTTGTGAGACAAACTCTACAAGCAGGAAAGTGAAAATAGAATGATGTGCACGAGCTAATTCTGTCATCTCAGGTGGAGCTTTCTTTACATGCTAAAGCTCCTCCATGGAGCAAGAAAGAGACATTTTGTCTGAACTCAGTACCCAAAGCAATAAATACCGACTCTTTTCCTATTACCTCACAGGAATCTTGGCCAGGAAGCGAGGAGAAAGAAAGATCAGACAGGTCAGGACAAGTGAGCTTCTTTATTGTCTAACAGACAGACTAAAATCTGATTTAAATTTCAAGCAAAATCACATTATCTGAATTTAGCAGAATTCTTGAAACATTTATGAGCCATCCCCAATCAATTCTCAAGTGGTCGCTTGGTTGGACTGTCGCTAGTGAGCTGGTATCCTGATTTGCTGGAGGAGCTGGCTGCAGTATCTGGGAGAGAATAAATGGCACAATGGTTAGCTTGTCCTAGTTTGTTTGTTTGTTTTGAGACAGGGTCTCCCTTTGTAGTTCATGCTGGCCTTGAACTCACTATGCAGTCCCAAATTGGCCCTGAACTTGTGGTGATTCTCCTACCTCAGCCTCCTGAGTGCTGGGATTACAGATGTGTACCACCACTCCCATCTTTTCTTTCTTTCTTTCTTTCTTTCTTTCTTTCTTTCTTTCTTTCTTTCTTTCTTTCTTTCTTTCTTTCTTTCTTTCTTTCTGTCTCTTTTTCTTTCTTTCTTTCTTTCTTTCTTTCTTTCTTTCTTTCTTTCTTTCTTTCTGTCTCTTTCCTTCTTTCTTTTCCTTTTTTTCTTTTTTTGTGGTGTCCTTATCTTCAACAAAACTACAAACATATGTCTACTATAAGTTGTTGGTAAAATGCAGCTCATAATTATGACTTTTAGAATGACATTTTCCAGTCTGACAAAATATACTTCTGTTCAAGAATGTGGAAATAATATGCATAGACCCGGGGTGCCTCTCTTCACTGGAGCAGCTGGGTTGGTGGACCTGGGAGTCTAGACTGGATGGTTAATTCTAGATCTGGGTAATTATATATATTTAACTCAGTATAACTACCTACTTTTGCTGAGAATTTTATATACTTAATTTTCTCAATTTTTCACATTCCAACTATGTGCAAACAACCGTTTTTCTGGGTGATGAGATGATTATTAATGAAGGACAATCCACAAAACATACACTTAGGAGATGTAATCAAAAATATATATGGAAATATCAATATATATTGATATTTAAATGAAATATCACTACAGTAAAAAACACATTGCCACTAATCCTCCTGAAAACAAAACAAAACAAAACAAAAAACCTTGCTTTGAACACTCTTCTTGTATTGCCCCTGCAGCTTTCCAGAGCAGCCCTGGAAGTCCTTTCTCATGAATACCTTTAGTTGCACTACTGTGACGGCCTCAATGTCTTGAACTGATTAAAAAATGTGTACCTTTCATAGTCATTTTGACTTTGGGGATGTTGCCAGGTGTCCTACTATATCAGAACCAGTAAATAAAGGGGGTGAGGATGCACCATCATGTTGTTACAGGCTTTTCTTTCCATGGGATGGCACCTGGCAGCAGCATTTACTGTATTTTTTGTTGTAGCTTATACAGACTCAGAGACTTCCAGAACTGCTTCACAGAATGATGGGAAGAAGGGTGGGATAAGTATGTCTGAAACAAGGGAGAGTATTTTGGGGGAACTTAATAGCCATATAGCTTTTACTATAATAAAAATTTAAAATCAAGCATTCCCTGTACATTTTTGTCACATTCGAACACACTCATATAAAGTAGGTACACGGATAAGTACAACTACTCGTAACAGTGGATTTACATATTTTCAGAAATGGTGATTAAAATTGGGGCTCACAGAAATGGGAGCACTTAATATTGAGTGGCTTATAAGATGAAAGGGCTGAACACGCATTTTAGAAAACATAATCTGTAAAAATATAATTTGTGGAGCTCAACAGTTCCAATCAAAGTGTAAATATTATGAAAGAGACTGAAAATAAAAAAAGTTATAAGTAAATTTCAAACCAAAACTGATTCTAGTATTATAGATGTAGGACAGTACTGTATCATTCCTCTGTGAATGTAAAATATCTTGTACCTGCTTTATGATATGTAGTAAGGACTGTGCTTTATTAGAGCTATTTTCAGTGATGTTACTCTAGAATGTTCTCTCTCCAGATGATGATTAAGATGCTAATAAAAAAAATGGTGCCAGGTACCACAACAGCAACAGAACTTTGCTGTTTTCTGGTTATTATTCTTCTCTTTGTTTTTTTTGTTTTTTGTTTTTTGTTTTTTTTTTAATGGAGTGTGCTGA